AATGTCTCACTCTGACCTTTCATTGGCTCTGCCACTCCAAAATTTGATTTTAAAGTTGTTTGGAGGAGAATGTTGGAAGAGTTCAGCTGAATTGCTGCCTATACTCTACCGTCTTAGAATGCCTTGGCATGGACTTACTCCATGCATTCTCAATAAAGTAGGAGACTAAGTTACTTTCTGCAAATATATTGAAGATAGTAGAGAGGTATTGAGTTTGAGGGCTTAAGAAGAGAGAAAAGTTTTGGAACAAACACTGTCAGGAATGAGCTAAAAAATGGAGAAGGCAGCTTCAGAGTTGTCATGCAGCTATGAAGAGCTACATAAGAGCTATCAGTTTAGTGACTCAGGTTCGTAATCTTAATGTCCCCCCTTCACTCCTCAATCTCTCTGACCCCACATATCCAGTCTATTGCAAATCTTGTCATTTGTACTGCCACAATATCTCTTGCATTTAACTCCTCTCTATTCACACAGCCACCACTTTAGTTTAGACCCTTATCACCTCTCATAAGTTGCTGACCCAGCCTCCTAATTGGTCCCTCTGATTCGTCTGTCCTCACTTCACTCTGTCTTCCACTCAGCTCCCAAAGTAATTTTTTCTTTAAGTGTAGATCTGGCCAAGCCACTACCTTACTCAATGAACCCCAGTATCTCTCTGTTGCCTCTAGGTAAAATATAAATTCTGTTTAGCTATTAAAGCCTTTCACAACCTTGACCCAAACCTATCTTTCTATCCCCACTGTACATTACTTCCCCTCCCACATGCTGCAGTCTAACCAAACTGACCTCTGTGTTCCTCACACAAAGCACTCAGTCTCCTGTCTCTGTGTTTTTCCACTGGCCACCAACTCCCCATTCTTGGAATGTATCCTCTCCTTACCTCTACTGTTAGAATACCTTTCTTTGGTCAAGTCAGAACTTAAATGTTTTTCCTCATTCACCTGCTTGTGCCCTCCTACTATGACTACTTTGCATTTAACTACTTTATATTTATTTGTAGTCATTATCTTTATATTTATTCAGCATATATATGTACATATATGTATATTTATATGTACACACATATGTATGTATTTTTTTTATTTTCTCATTGGCTCTTGTGAATGAACTAAAACAATGAACCTGTAGCTATTGTCTAAGTTACACTAGAAAATAAGGATTCTTTTAACAAATTAGGTTGTCTAGTGATTTTCTGTTGTATTTGTTTTTCTTTAGCATATATACTGAATGTTCCCATAATGAGATTCAGGATTTGCTCTTTCTTATCCCTACTACCTTTGTATGGAGAATAAACTTGTTAAAAATGAAACATATAAGAACATCCAGCATGTTCTAAAATATCCCAATTCTGGCAGCTGACAAAAAATTCTACTCTCAGAATCATCCTATATCATTGATTGAAGGAATTGGAGACAAAAGACTGGATTGGGGGAAGGGAACAGGAAAGCTGTTTTCAAGTATTTGAAGATTTATCATATAGAACAGGGTTTGTCTTATCCTTGTTGGTCCCATAGGCAGAACTAGGAACAATGGATAGATGATGCAAAGAGGCATATTTAGGAATGAGGTAAGGAAAGATGTCTTACCAATTAGTGCATATCCAAAAGCAGAATAAATGGCTTTAGAAAGGAACTTCTCACTGGAATTCTTCACACTAGGCTTAGATTTGTTATATATTTGTTGGATATGTTGTAGGAGCAATTCTTATGTGTGTGTGTGTGTATATATATACACATGTGTGTATATGTATATATGTGTATGTATGTATGTTTATGTATATGTGTGTGTGTGTGTGTGTGCGTGTGTGTATATAAAGTTTGGACAAGGTAGCCACTTCTATTCCTTCTATTCCTTCCAGTGAGGGCATTCTATGATTCTGATACTACCCCTAGGCAAGGAAAGTGGTGCAATACCTTGCAGATGGTAAGTACATCACTGGGTCAGTGAAGCCCACAGAAAGGTAATACAGGGGTGATTAATCCAGGAATTAACACAACTATGACTATATTGCTTTCCACCAGCTACATTTAAGAGGATTCTTTTAAGCTTCAGTTTGTGGAGGAAACACAGGCTACTGTCATTTCCCCAGCAATTGATTCTCCAACCAAACATCAACTTGATAATAGGGAGGATATACAAGACTGGGCTCACCTTTCCATTTCTAATCCTCAATAATTTTCCAGGCACAGGAGGGGGAAAAAGAACTCAATTAAAAAATATAAATAAACTTTAAAATAATATTTACTGGTTAAAAGGACTGATAATTGAAGTAATGCATCTTTTATAAATCACTGTTATGCTTTTGTGGATTATTTTTTTTTCCATGAGAAAATTAACAGCAACATTTGTTCAGAAAAAGCAAAATGTGTTCTTTCCTTCCTTATTACTTTTATTGTTCAAGGCTTCTTTTAGACTATAATGTGGCATTGTGTATTTCAGTTGGGGGGAAAATCACTTGTCTTTCAAACATAAGAATGTGATTTTATACTATTGTTGCCAACAATGAGCTAAAGAGGTTAATGGATCACATATCTGGCAAACAGCCACTCTGCCTCCTGCTCAATATATTAAACAATACACATTCTGTTGTTGTGGCTGAGCTCACTATTCTGTTTGAATAGCTGGTAAATAACTTTAGTTATATTTTTAAGTTTTTCCAGAAACCCCAACAGCTTTATTTTGTCATTCACTATTGAATATTTAATCCTAAAATCTTGGGGACTGAGAAGTTAGGGATACACTATAATTGAGTGGGGATGGGTGGGGTATGGCAAGGGTTGAGTGACATATTTGCATAGTACACTAAACAATTTATTCCTTTATAATTGGTTGAAGATCTTTCGTTTTCGAAGTGTGTCTAGTTTCATTTTGTTTGTTATCCTGTTTTCTTGAAATTACCACTAGGGGAAAAAAAGAGGGTAGGAGAAGCCAGACTACTAAAAGAGAAGACCTGCAAGTCTTTCTAGTGCTGGCCCTAAAAAGGCTCTAATAAAACCCTAATTTAACAATCCTACCCTTCCTGATGCCAAGGTCGATTTCCCTTTGCATTGTTTGACAACCCTTGAAAAAAAAAAAAGATAAAGCAATAGAGCAATTCCCACCCTAAAGGATTCTGTCCATATTGCAATTGTACTATGGAAAGTTAGCTAAAGACCATTAATACTTCATTCTGTAGCCTGCAGTAGATGTGTGTTTTTTTTATTTAATTTAATTTTTTTAAGGAGAATTACCCAAAGAGACAGCTTTACAAACGATACGCTGCTAATTTTATTTTCAGAGAAACTTTGGTTGGGGGTCAGCAGTGGTGGCTGTGGGTTGCACCGCAGCTGTAGGAGGCTTAGGGATGGGGGAGGGAGACAAGCAATAGAAGAGTCTCCGTGGATCTGTTGGAATCATTTAAATCTGTCAACGAGTAAATTAAATAACACACCACCACATCATTTCTCTGAGGAAACAAGGTGGAGTTAAAGGGGATGAAGAGAAACCAACTGAATTAGAAACGTGAACAAATCTCTCCGATTAGGCATTTTGGAAGGGTTAGGATAAGACAAATCCTTCGGGGGTGGGGGGTGTCGCTCCCCACAGGGTCTGCGGTGATCATCCGCTACGATTCCCGCTGAGCGCGGCAGCGGAGCTGAGGACAGACCCAGACAGCCACTGCAGCAGCCCGGGAGCGCTCAGCATTAGCCCGATCTCTACTACGACAGTCCGCTCCTCCGATGATGCCCTGTTCTTGCAGCTTTGCTTCTGGCTTCTTTCCCCCCAAAGAGAATGAAGTGACCTCAGCTCCTCCGTGATCAGGTCCCATCGGACCTCTAGCTTTCCAGGGCCGCTGCTGCTTCGATTCCCGCACCTCTCCACCCCCGCCCCGTAACCTTCATGCCCCTAAAGAGTCCTGCATTGCCCTCAGGTCTCCCCACTCGTTGCTTGCCCTCGCCTCCTCGGAGCCTGGTTGGCAGCGCCCAGGGAGGAGGACGCGATGTAGCTCCGCAGCCTCAGGACCTCTGTCGCGGCTGCCGCCTCCTCCTGGTAAATTCTCCTCCTCCTTCTCCTCCTCCTCCCAGGGCGCTGCCCTCCCCCTGCAGCAAGCTGCTTTTTTGGTGTCTCGGTGTGCCTGTGCCTCTGTACTGGAGACACCTGCGCTTCCCAGCCCCTCTCCTCCTCCTGCTTCTCCTCCGCCCTATTTTGCTATTGCTGAGCCACTGCCTTTGGGGGCCGAGGAGTGGGAGCAGCCGGAGGAGGGGGAGGAGAAAGGGCTGGGGGCGGGGTGGGTGGGGAAAGGCTTAGGGAGGGGTGTGGACAGCAGCCACTCTGCAGCTGGCCGCCTGGGACCCCGCTTCCCTCGTGTGTCCCTCCGAGTGATGGAGGGGAAGAGACTCGCTTAGACACGCACGCAGCTGGGCGCCTCTCCGGGAGGCGGTGGTGGCGGCGGCCGCAGCTGCTCTCCTTGCGAGAGGGAGCGGGCGGCGCCTGATGCAGCTCAGCTCTGGCTGCTCCACGGGGAGCGCGCCGTAAGCTTTAAGCTCGCTGAGTGACTCTCGGGCGCCGGCTACAAGCGGGAAGAGAACCACCCAGATGCTGCTTTGACTGTTGCTCTTTTTTAGAGAGGGTGGGGGCGAGCTCTGGGAGGGCGCTCCTTCAACTGTCACTGCGGAACAGGGTCTTACCCCTCCTAGTGCAGGGTCTGGGGACAGCTCAGGGTGCATATGCGGAGAGGAGGATGCGCACCTTCTCTCGAGCGCAGCCACAAGGCATTGGCAGAGCTAGGACTGGGGCTCCGGAGCCAGCCTGTGCCGCGTCCTAGCCACGGGAACGCGCCCTGCTGCACCTGGCCTCTGCCTCTCTGGGAAGTGCAGGGAACGAGTGCTAAACTCCACTACTTCTTTCCTCCTCTCCCTCCTCCCACCTTCACTCCTCCCTCCTTCCCGCCTCCCTCCCTACCCAATATTTCGTTGCCTGCGTGTCTCTCCCTGCTTATACATACACACATCACCATTCGGTCACTCACTCACTCTCAGTCTCGCGCTCTGATGAGCTGAATTCCCAACCTCAGAAACAAGCCATCCAACTTAGGAGCCTGGCCACAAAAGCCACACTTTTGCCCCCCACCCGGACAGCCACAGCATTAGTGATCCCTTCGCCCGCTCGTCCGCCTGCCCGCCTCGGCTCTCCTCCAGCAGCAGTGGCTCAGGATGCCCGGTAAGTGAGTCAGGCTGAGACCACTAAGTCTCTGCCAAGCAGTAGCTAGCTAGACTGGGTCGGCTAGTTACACCATTCATCATCCCTTTTACATTGGGGGAAGGGACAGAAAGGAGGGAGTAGTGGCCAAAAAAAAAAAAAAAAAATTCCGCCAGCTGAACCGGTCTTGCGGACCCCGGGACCGCTTTCTGGGTCTAGTTTCCTGGGGGCGCTGCCCAGGAGAGGACTTTTAGACAGGTTTCTCTGGGACTCGAGTAACACAAGTGTAAGGGAGAAGGGCGTTGCGCTGGGTACAGAGGGTACCGTTGGCTCGGTTTGGGGTTGTTTGGGGAGAGGTTTGCTGGGAGACTGATAGAAAAGCATGTTACCCCAAATAGTTGGGGGGACTTAGTGGTTTGGCACCTATCTGAGTTGTTTGTGCTGAATATGATTGCAGAGGAGTTTCGACTTCTGTTCTTTAGGGATGAAGTAAATTCCCAGCTTTGAGGTAGAGGACAGGTAGAGGGCAGGAAAGGGAGGCAAGTGTCTTCAACCCATACACACATATCCACGCAAACGCTGCCCTCCGCCTCCACTCTCTCCTAGAGATTGGATTGATGGTTGAAGCAATACCGTTGCATTTTACCCTGCCTATGATCATGAAGGCTTTGGGGGGAGTTGGTTTAAAAAACCGCTAGGGCTTTGGCTTCTGTGACCTGGGGGAGCAGCCTGGCTTAGGGTTTGCAATAGGAGATATAGAAAAGGGGACACCCAGTCTTGGCTGTGTTTGTCTTTACCTGAGGATTCCCACTGAAACTTACCAGCTTCGAGGGCAAGCGCTCCTCCATCAACTCTGGAGCCACCTGATCCTTGTTGTCCCTACACTCTGGCTGCTCGGTCTCTCCAGGTCAGCCAGACATCTGCTGTTCAATGGAGTGTGCTCCACTACCCTTGCGAGCCTTTACTCACTCCCACTTTTAAGCATAATAATAATAATAACAATGCCAATTTCTCCGTAGAAAATATTGATCCCTTAAGGGGAGCTTTAATATTTGCAAAGTGCTTTAAATCAAATTACATCAAGAATACATTTAATTGCGCTGTAACTCCTCTCTGATTTATGTGAACTCTGCTAAGTAAATATCAGAGGAAGGGACAAGGTGGGGGCAGGGACTATAAGGCAGGAGCAGGGTAGGTTCCTTTTAGTGAAGGTTGTCCTTTCTAAACTACTCTACTTGATTTGTTGGCAGTAATCTAAAGCTAGTGATTGCTGTTGATTCTGAAATGGTTTTGCTCAGCAGTTTCAGTATTTTTCAGGGCTTTAGGGGCACCACTGAAAAAATGTTACCCAAGTTACAAGTTAGTTCACATATGATTCCTTTTGAAAAGAAGAAATGAGAAGTCATTACTGATATTGGATAGCAAAAGGTTTTTTCCCCCTATATTAAAAAGGTCTTTTAATAGATATCAACTACTTATCTGCCAAATTCCATTTTAATCATCGAAATACTTCTTCTATATGACTCTCATCAAAGGAGAAAATGTCCCAAACTTATAGTCTCCCTTCCTTCAATTGTTTCCAAGCTGCCCCATGTTTCAACTAATTATGGATTACCAGAGGAATCATTTTATGCTTTCGCCTTATGAAGTTGTTATTTAGCTGACTATTCAAGGTACCAGAAGATATTGTCAAGGAATCAAAGAGTAGAATGGGTAGGAGGTTGTTGGCTGAACTTTAAGGCAAGTTAGCCTTAGGAGCCTTAAAAGAGAAAGAAAACTCTCTACTGGTAACTTTCAAGTTACTTTTGATCAATTTAACAAGACTCTTTTTCAATGTGCACACGAATGAACATAATGTTGCTTATTAATAATTTAAAGGAATATTATCAAATAGGCTACTAAGCAGATTTTATGGAAAATTATAAGGGCTAGAGTAAATGGAGGTTCACAGTATGAGCTCAGATTACAGTTTTTTCTAGGTCAAGTATGACTTCAATACTCACATTTAATATTTAAAGCCTACTACCTTTGATTTCTTCACCCGGAATGATCTGTTTATATGTGTTATATGTGTGAATCAGAGTCACGGTTGCTTACAAGCCTACTTAGATACTTTTGAATGAACTACCTTATTGCTCCCTGAATTTTTGTTCATTCCATGATTTTTTAAAAAGCCTCTACTATATACAAAACACTATTCAGGGTGCTGTGAGGGATACATTAAGGGTTTAAAAAAGGGAAGTCTTTTTTTTTTAAATAAACCTTTAGCCCTTGCCTTACTGAAAGATGACTGAAGATATAATACAAAAACTACTTTGAGTGGGGAAAAAACCTCAAACATTTGCCTTACTATTAAACACAGTATCTTGCACTTAGTAGGTGACTAAATGTTGATTGAATGAATTCAAATAATTCATGACATCTACTATTCAATTTTGCTTTCAGTATTAAATTCATTTTATCATTCTAAACTTATTGTGCTATGTGTGATCCAGTTTCAGAAAAGTAATTATATTTCTTGTTTGAAATTCATGCTTGTGCTCATTTTTATGATTCAAATAAATTAAAATTAAATTACTATTTATTAAATTATATTTAATATTAAAATATTTAACAATAAACATTTATGTACTAACATCTTAAGCTGGTACCTGTAAGCCCCATTCTGAATTGTCACTGGGCCACATGTGTCAATTGTGCTCATTTATGAATAAATTTTCCTTCCAATTGCATTGAAAAGTGAAGCTCTAAAGTTGAAAAAAATTACTCCTTAACTTTTCTCCTCTCTCTGCAACTTCAAAATGTGCATGTTTATGAAAGATTTCAAGGGTTATGCAATTTTATGCTAATGAGTAATCTGATTTAATAGGTATTGTTTAGTATTTGTTAGAGAAGGAAGTAGTGCCTTATAGAAATCTAACTGAAGTCTTTGTAGTCTTTCTCAACATCATGCCTGGCAGGGTTGGCTCTATTCTGAGAACATCATTCATGAATAAAATTATTCCTCAGGGTAACACAAAAGTAAGTAGCACCTGCAGAATAGTTTCTTAGTTATTAGTATATATTGGGAACTGGGGGGAGGGGAAGGTTGGGATGATGGTTTATGACAATTATTCTTCAATTACTTCTTGGGCATAAATTATGAGTAACAACACTAATACTGAATTCACTGAAGTTATAATACAATTATGAATATACCACTGGTTTATTTTTCTAGTGCAGAATCTTTTATGATTGAGTTTCTTCACAATATTTTGTTCTGGAAACTTCTAAAATTAAAATGATCACAGTTTCATTAGGGGTAGTATGATTTAGTATGAATGGAATTTTTTCCAACTGTGTTGCTGTTGCCACTGCTGCTGTTAATTTTAAGGAAAGATAAGTAGTTTCAGAGAAGAGATCCTATAAATTGAAAGTTGCGAGAAAAGCATTCATATAAATCAAGCTTATCCTAAACTCATAGTGAGCCTTGTTAAGGGGGTGGGGGGAGGCTTAAAAGTTGATTTTAATTATTTGCTAATTTATGACAAACTAGAAAACTCTAACATTGTAATTTCCAAATTATAATGCTACTCTAGATAGCAGAAGTGCAATCGCTCTTAATCAGAAATCTAGTACACAAATCTTTGTGGACAAATTTTGCTGACTCTTATTCTCATCATTGCCTTGTTAGGATCAATCTTTGTTTCTATGGATTATGATGATATCTTAACCTTTAGAGCAGAAGCTCAATAAAAACAAGTTATTAAGAACCACATTTGGAAATCACTGATCTAAGGACAATGAGATTTCAGAGTAGATAAAACTCATCAACAAGATTGTATTGTAAATTGTGGACTCCAGAGGATATAAAATTGCCTGGATTTCTATATAATGTACAAGCAGAAGTTCAACAGGACAAAGGAAGTCTGTAAATCCAATTTGCAGTTTCAATTGAAGGGTTATTTAGCAATATTACTGTTGTTTAACATTTGATAACATATGTCGACTTTTCCATTATCTATAAAAGGGCTCTAAACAAAGGAAAGTCAGAAGCACAGAATGGCAATGCTAGAAGGGACTTTAGAGATAACCTAGTTCAGAGGAGTCAAACATGGACCTGTGTGCTGCTGCAACATTCTGGAATGCAAAGAACCAGATTAAAATGTAATTGGGAAATATTGAACAAAATAAAAAGTATAATAAAACATAGATAATGTTAATATATGGTTTTTAAGTCAATATGCATCTTTCAAGCATCTTTATGTATAGCTTAATTTGTTTTTTTTGTGTGTGTGTTTTATTAACCCAACCCTGTGTATGAGGAGTTCAGGGAGCACTAGCACCTCTGGTGTGAGAGACTTTTTTCAGACCTACTCATCCATCCTAGGTGTCCACCTCTTATTCAATTCTCACCTGTGGCTCCAAGAAATGGTAGTATGTGCAGCATCCATCACACCTGGGTAAAATCATCTCAGCATATGGGCTAAAACAGGTTGAGGGTAGCCAACAGACCTTAAACTCATGAGTGAATTAGTGAGATTTCTACCCCAAACACGTGAAGACTTTTGGCAGAATAAGCTGTCAAGAACAATTTGTTTCAACAGACATGAAGGTGGATCAAGCAGGTGCTGTGGAGATTGATCAGACATGGAAGATGCCAAGGTCATCCACTGTACCCTGGCCTGTCACTAATTCTCCTGATTTTTGTCTTGCCTCTGTGATACTGGGAGAGATAGTGAAGATGATGACTTCGTGCAACTCTGCCTCAGTTAAATCTAACTCGTCACTCAATTGGTGATGTCATTGGTCTTCTTTGAACAACAACAGTCTCCCTTCCCATTTCTATTTGAGTTCAACACCAATTCATTTCACAATGAAAGAATCTGAGACTGAGGTGAAGGGACTTTTGCCCGTGGCAAGATAATGAAAAAGCTAAGGAGGATTGAATTAAACATTTTTTTTTTCTTGAGTGCCCACTATATGGCAGATACTGTGCTAGGTACTGAGGCAATAAAGAAAAAAAAATCATAGTTCCTGCC